GGCGATCGATCGGCCAGGCCAGGCTTTGGTCTTTAACCCCAGGGCCGCTCCCCTGGGTTCAGTACCTCCCCCACACCGGGCAGTACTGGGGGGCAGGGGGAGCGATGGGGGAGCGCCTCACCGCGCTCCGCTTCGGCACCTCGGGGCCTTCATTTGTCCAGCCCGGAGATCAGAACCCACCCCCGGCCCAGGTGGGAAGCGGCCTGTGCCCGCCGAAGGGCCCGGCGTCGTCGGGGAGGAAAGGGATGGCGGTGGGGGGGGGGGCCGACCTGGGACCCACTCTTGGCCCAAGCGGACCGGCCTGTCCCAGGCCGCAGCAGGCCTTCGACAGTGGAAGGCCGGAGCTCTGCCCGGGTGCCCACTGGGCCTGCAGAGGCCGAGCTCGCGCCGCCTGCCCAGGGGTGTCCCGGCTGCCCAGGGGTGTCCCGGCCGCCGAGGGGTGTCCCGGCCGCGCCCCCCCCACCGCCCCTCGTAAGCGAGGGGTTCTCCTGAGCCTGTCCCTCTCACACTTCCCATCTCGACTGTGGTCCCAGCGGCCGCACTCAACCCTCGGCCCCTCTCTCTTCTCTGCGGAAAGACCGCGCCATTCCTCCCCTCCTCCCCTTGGCTTGGCCTCCCCAGCCAAGGGATGTTGCACCTGTTAGGAAAGGGGACGTGCAGGCTGGGAGCTGCTGTCCCCCGCCTGTCATCCTGGCTGCTTGGGGAGGCTGAGATCTGAGGGGTGGTGGTTCCCAGCCAACCCCAAGGCAGGAACAGTCCGTGAGACTGAGCTCCAGTGCACCAGCAAAAATGGAAATGGAGATGCCGCTTAAGTGGCAGAGAACCACCCTTAAACTGAAGAGCTAAGGGACGCAGCCCCTGAGCTCAAGCACAGGTACCCAGTATCCATACCAAAAAAAAGGTTGAAGTCTGGGGCTAGGGTCCCCACATGATGAAGGATTAGGAACTCAAAGCTACCTCCTCCCCCCAGGAGTGACAAGCCCCCCCCCAAGGAGTGACAAGCTCCTCCCCTCCAGGAGTGACAAGCTCCTCCCCTCCAGGCGTGACAAGCTCCTCCCCTCCAGGAGTGACAAGCTCCCCCCCCAGGAGTGACAAGCTCTCCCCCCCCAGGAGTGACAAGCTCCCCCCCAGGAGTGACAAGCTCCTCCCCTCCAGGAGTGACAAGCCCCCCCCAGGAGTGACAAGCTCCTCCCCTCCAGGAGTGACAAGTTCCCCCCCAGGAGTGACAAGCTCTCTTTCTCCCCACTCTCAGTCACACTGATGGACACAAGTGAGGCCCAAGGAGAGCTGGGCTGGTTGCTGGACCCCCCAGAGGATGGGGTAAGTGTCTGGGGAAGGATCTGGGAAAGTTCAAGGCCCAAGGCCCAGTGGGAAACGGGGCGGAGAAGTGGGTGGAGGAACCGAAAAGAGCTGGAAAAACTGGAAGTGTCTCCTCCGGGAGGGGGCAGGGAGGCTGAGTCACAGCCTTCTGAATGGGATGGGGGGGGCAGACTTCACCCCCTGAGGAATGTCTCCTCCTCCTCCCCCTGGCACTTCCCCTTTCCTGCTGCTGAGGTGAATACTTAAGAGAAGCAGTGGGGTGTTGAGCGCCCCTCCCCAGGGGAAGTGCTTTGGGAGAGGAAGGAGTCATGAGGAAAGCATACTCAGGTCAGCTTCTTTCCTTCAGTGCTGTTGCTTGGGTGGCTTTTGGGGGCCAAGGGTCTTGGACTTCCTTCTGTGCTCTTGGCCCATTCTTCATCCCTCCACACAGCATGTTCCAGGTGTTTTGAGGGTACCAGAGCCTGTTCCAAGTTTCCCTCCCTTGGGTGCACCTGAGCAGAGGAGGATTGTGAGTAGGGCAGACAGTGCATCCAAGAGGCTCTCTTGAGACCTTCGCTGGCCCTGGATCCTGTTCTCTAGGTGTTTTCTTCCAGGACCTGAGACTCATTGCAGCCGTTTTCCGGGATTGTGCTTAATTGCTTTCTCTCCCTTTTGGTCCAAGGGTCCTGGCTGTATTCTGCACTCTCCCACAGAATAACCTGTAATTAGAGTTAATAGACTAAACCGTGATATATCCTCCAGGAGGGGCTGTTTGGAAAATCCTGGATTAAGCCAGCCCTAAGAGGCACCTCATCTCATAAACCAGCTAATCAGCACATGAAGATGGCAGCTGGTCCATTTCCAGGCCAGCTCTCATTGGACCTTCATTGTGCCCCAGCCCGGGTTCCACCCAAATTACTTCCCTAGTTGGGCCCTAGGGGAGCAAGGCTCTTCCTCAGTGTGATGCTAGGAGAGCAATAGGACAACCAGTAGTCACTCCCACCATCTCCCTTATCTCCTCTGCTCACCAGCTGCCCCAAACCAGCGTGCACTCAAAAAAGTCTCACCCCTGGAATGTACCCATATTAGCAGCCAGCAGGGCTTGAGTGTTAAGCGAAAGATCCTTAGTGCTGTTCCTGGCCAGCTGGTTCTTTCCCCCATCTGTCCCTGTCCCTGCTGGAACTGGGAGTGGCAGCTACAGCTGGGAACATCTGCTTCCCTAGACTCCAGCTGTAGCCTTGACAATCTGGCTCCTGAGCTGCACATTAACCACCCACTGCCCTCTCCACCTGCCCTGCCCTGAGCCTTCCACATGGGCTCCCCAGCTTCCTCCGGGGCAGACTCCAGGTACCTTTCATTCCAGCTTCATTACCTTTCACACCTTTGGCCTGATCTTTGAACTCTCTGACACAGTGCAGAAATATGTGCCTCACAGAAGCGTATACTTCTGCCCTACTCTCCCGCCAGTTCTTAATTGATGATGCTTTTTCCTGACTTTTCCCAAAGCTGAGAGTAGGCATGAAGAGCTCATGCTCAGGGGTAGAATCAAAACTCAGGGAAAGTGGCCCTTCCTTCAGGCCTCAGTCTCTTCCCTGTCAAATTACTGGATGGTATCTGAAATATTAATGAAATACTTTATCAAATTTAAAAGCATCTTCTTTAAAATTGATGTGGCAGAGGAAACACCTAACAAGGAGAATACTTTTGGAAGAGATATGACATAGGACCTTTGTCCCACCAACAGCTGTCATATGGACAGGCCCATATGGACAAGAGTAGCCCAGCCCATGGAAAATCCAAAGACAAGCCCACATGTATGCCAGTTTCATGAGACTGGAACTGGAATTAGAAATCAAGGTAGAAAATGTTGTAGAGGACAGAAAGACTCCAACTTCTAATATTTTCATAAGTAAGCCTGTGAAATAGGCTCAATAGGAGAAACCCTGTTTTATTTTCTTCCTGCATTTCTATTACCCTGGATTAGTTGTACAAAGGGGTTCGTTTTGTCCTGTCTAGAACATGCATACAATGCATCTTGATGAGACCTACCCCCTTCCACCGCTCTCCTTCATCCTTCCCCCTCCCCTTGCCCAAACCAACCTCAAGCTTCATTGTTCCATTTTCATGCTCTCTGATTGCCCTCTCCCTGTCCCCATACCCCACAAGACCTGTTTTTCGTTCCTTTTCTTTCCTCCCTGATCCTGAGGTTTGAACTGGTACCTGGGCTGGGCTCTGTCCCTGAGCCTCTCTGTGCTCAAGGCTAGCATTCTACCACTTGAGCCACAGCACCACTTCTGGCTTTTTCTGTGTATGAGGTACTGGGAATCAAACCAGGGCTTCATGTACACTAGGAAGCACTCTACCCCTTAGCTACATTCCTCATTCTCTTTTTTTTTAATGTATGTTAATTGTTCCAAGCATCTCACTGTGATTTTTTGTTTATTTTGTTTTGTTTTGTTTTTTGCCAGTCCTGGGACCTGAATTCAGGGCCTGGGCACTGTCCCTGAGCTGCTTTTGCTCAAGGCTAGCACTCTACCACTTGAGCACTTCTGGCTTTTTCCTGTTTATGTGATGCTGAGGAATCGAACCCAGGCCTTCGGGCATGCTAGGCAAGCACTCTACCCCTGAGCCACCTTCCCAGTCCTCACTATGGTATTTTGCACAGCGTTTTAATCCGGTTGACCCCCTCACTTGCCCCACCCCCCACTTCCCCTCTTTTATTCAACAGCTTTCAGTGAGGAAAAAACTGTCCTGATCACATGACCACTCACAGGAGGCCCTCACTTGTAAGACTGGAGGAAGAAGCAATGCTGGAAGCCTTTGTAGGATCCTGAGCTATGGAAAGGAGTTGGGGGTGGGAAGATGGAGGCTTGCCTCAGTTGAAGTCAAGCAGGGCTGTCCTGCTGTGAGGATAAGATGTCTGGCGTTGTACAAGTTATCTTAGAGCTGCCCTTTCCCTAGTAGATGCCTTGGGAGGCAGGTTTCTTTCAAAGATATGAATCTGTTTTAACAAAGGATACCTTCTCAGAGCCACTCCTGCATTATCAGTTTCTCCATTATAACCAGCTCAAAATAGGCCAAAGATGTATGTATATTTTAAGGAGCCGCGTCCTGGGGCCTCAGCGTATGGAGTAGTCATTAAATGGACCATTAGATGTCTGTAGTTAGAAAATTAAGTAGAAATTCCTCTATTTCACAGCTGATACATATCACACGAAAATTCTAGGGAGAGTCCAAACACAAAAACCAAATGTACAAAAAGTTTAAGACAAAAGTAGTAGATCTTTGTAATCTTGCAATGGGAGAGTTCCCCAAACAAAAGACATGACCTATTAACAAAGAAACGACATGGCAAAGAGTATTCACAATGAACATATGAAGTCTTGTACATATTAAGCAAAGGATTAACATCTAAACAAGTTTTTCAAAATTTCATCCAAATGAACAGTCCTATGATAACAATTGTACATAAGTAAATACGTATCAAAAGACAAATAGACAATGAGCAAAAGAAAAGCTCAAGGCTTACTTCCCCACCCCAAGACCAGTAAAGTAGATGGTAAGAAGCTGTCTTCACCATACAATTGGCAAAAAGTAAAAACAATGGAGCTATCTCATTTGGATGAGGTTGCTAGAAAAATATTTCCTCTTGATTATTGGTGAAAGTATAAATGGACAAATCTTTTGGAAGGCAATTATAGCGCTATCTTGCAAAATTGTAATACATTCACCAGATGATACAGGTTTTTATGCAGAAATCTTAATCTGTGTATTTTCAAAAACAAACAAAACAAAACTAGAGGCTAACTAAATGCCTAGCAGTAGGCAAATGCTTACATAAGCTATGGAACATCCATGCAATTGGGTACTGATAGATTTCTATAAATATATAGGCATATATATCATTTCTATAAAGGTATGGGCATATATATTCATATAGACACCTTTCTAGTACATTTCTTTTTAATTTTTTTTATTTTTATTGTTTATCAGTCATGGGGCTTGAACTCAGGACTTAGGGGATGTCCCTGAGCTCTTTTGCTCAAAGCTAGCACTCTACCACTTTGAGCCATAGTACCACTTCCAGTTTTCTGGTGGTTAATTGGAGATAAGAGTCACATGGACTTTTCCTGCCCATGCTGACTTTGAACCATGATCCTTATATCTCAGCCTCCTGAGTAGCTAGGATGACAGGCATGCGCCACCCATGCCTGGCTTCTAGGACATTTCTTTTTAAGACAAACTCAGTTACAGAGTAACACTCGTGATCTCACGTTAAAAACGAGACACAAACACATTGTACGAATCTCTCTGGAGACAACGAAAGCAGTCAGAACACTCTGCTCCAAATGGTGGCCAGTGATGAGAGTAGAAGGATGATGGACTTCCCTTATTCTGCACAAGTGTCTGTTGCTTAACTTTCACACTAATGACACAGGTATAATGAAGCCCCTGAAGGACCTGGCTTCCCATCCTCAGCTCTGCCCCTCACCTCTACTGGGCACTTGGACACTGTCTCCACTTCTGGCCTTTTGCTAATCTCCTGATTTTGTCTGCCACAGCCAGCTTCAGACTGATTTGCAGATCTCAGCTTCCTGAGTAGCTAGGACCAAAGCACCAGCCATCCTGTACCAGACTCCTTCTGCCTTTTCATAGCTGAGCAAGTCACTCTACCTGACTGTGCCTGACAGTTTCTTCCTGGGAAATGCTTAGAACAGTGTGTGGTTTATAGGAAGTGCTGTGTTAGTGCCAGCCAGTCATTATTACTAGGTTTAAAAATTCCTTTAATGTAAAAGAAGGTAAGGGGTTAGACAAGATAGGACCTGGGAAACAAGCCAACTCTCTCATTGATTTTGATAGTGGCTATAACTGGAAGGAATATTGGGGAGGATAAAATTTACACACACACACACTCTGGGCCTGGGCGCTGTCCCTCAGCTCTTCAGCTCAAGGCGAGCACTCTACCGCTTGAGTCACAGCACCACTTCTGGTTTTCTAGTGGTTTATTGGAGATAAAAGTCTCACGGAGTTCAAAGCCGGGCTGGCTTTGAACCGCAATCCTCAGATCTCAGCTTCCTGTGTAGCTAGGATTACAGGCCTGAGCCACCAGCGCCCGGCCAGAATGTTTTTCTATTTTAGAAAATAAGTCCTTTTCTCTGAGCAAATAGGCAGAGTTTTGCCTTAGGAGCAGGTTAACCTAAAGAGCCCTGGGTTAGCTAAGATGCTAATATACCACTGTTCCTCCCATATCTAAGAAAACACCACAACCTTAAAAGATTTAACCTGTTATCCTGGAGCCAAGCAGTGAGGTTAGGTGGGACCAGTGGAGAGAAGGAAGGAGGGGAACTCCAATCCCAGCTTCCTGTCCTCTCTGGTCCCTGACTCTGATTTCCTCCTGGCAGTGGAGTGAGGTCCAGCAGATGCTGAATGGGACACCCCTGTACATGTACCAGGACTGCCCAGTGCAGGAAGGTGGAGACACTGACCACTGGCTGCGCTCCAATTGGATCTACCGAGAAGAAGAAGCTTCCCGGGTCCACGTAGAGCTGAAGTTCACTGTGCGAGACTGCAAGAGTTTCCCTGGGGGAGCCGGGCCTAAGGGGTGCAAGGAGACCTTCAACCTTCTGTACATGGAGAGTGAACAGGATGTGGGCATTCAGCTCCGACGACCCTTGTTCCAAAAGGTGTTGCTGCAATCAGTGTCCTGACACTGATCCCTACCTGGCTAATTAGCCATGACCTTGGCTGGTCCAGAGACAGGAAGAGAGTGCAAATGTAGACTAGAGGGTAAACATGGGACTGGAAAACAGAAAGGCTAGATTGAGTATGGTTTTGTTGGGCTGTCACTTTAGGGATGTCGTTTAGGCTCGCCAAGCTTTGGTGACCTTGTTTTAAAGTAGCAATAATAAGAAGGTCAGTCTTACCTGTTCTAGAAGGGTTTACTAAGCAAGAAGCCATGGTAGCAGAGAGGAATGCGGTACAAAGGGTTTTACCTTTCTGTGCAGTAACCGTGGTGGGTGTGTACAACACACTGCCCCTTGCGTATCACTAGAGTTACACGGAAGGACAGTTTCCTGCTGTCCATCACTAGTCTCCATCTCTATCCCAAATGCAAGACCGTCAGGGGCCTATTATTATAGGAGGTGCTCTCATTTCTTGCCAAAGAGCAGCGGTTGTAAAGTTTTATTATTGGTAATAAATTAATTATCAATAATTAATTATATAATACATTAAATTTAACTGATCACCTCATTGGTACCAGAGTTGGGAATGCCTCTCCATGGTGGAAATCAGAGACTGTAGTGTCCCGCTTCCTGGGTTCCAATCCTGCCTCTATCATGTAATTGCTGTGTGATCTCATATTTCTCTTTGCCTTAGTTTCTCCCTCTTTTTTTGTAGAGATGATAACCTATCTCATAGGTTATTACCTGGGTTAAGGAGAGTGAGTACTGCACACAAAATATTTTGCCTAGTAGTACCTCTCACAAAATAAGCTCTCCTTCAATCACGGGTATTTAAATTGTAAAATACACATTGACATTTCCTTATCCAAAACACGTGACATCCAAGTTGCTTCAGATTTCACATATTTTTTCAGACTTTGGAATATTTACATATATAAATAACAAGTCATAGGGACGAGACCCAAGTCTAAATAGAAAATTTACTTATGTTTCATCTACACCTTAGACACATAGCTTAAAGGCAATTTCCTACAACATTTTCAGCATGCCTACATTTTTACTGTGACTTATGACATGAGGTCCAATGTGGAATGTTTCTTTTTCTTTCTCTCTTTCTTTTTTTTTTTTTTGTGTGTGTGTCAGTACAAGGGCTTGAACTCTGGGCCTAGACTCTGCCCTTTACCTTTATTGCTCAAGGCTAGGGCTCTACCACTGGAGTCACAGCTTACCTCCACAGAGATAAGAATCTCAGGGATTTTCCTGTCCCTGCTGGCTTCAAACCACAGACCTCAGATCTCAGCCTCTTGAGTAGCTAGGATTACAGGTGTGAACCACCAGCACCTAGTGCGTTTTCTATTTGTGACTTCACATACATGGTCTCCAGTTCAGAAACATTTCAGTCTGTGGGTTTTCAGAGTACAGATTGTCAGACTGCATTAGCCTGGCAGCTGTTTCTGTTCTGTGAAAACAAAGCATGGGCTTTCCTTTACCCTCTCCTCCCTACCTTCCTCTCAGGTGACCACGGTGGCTGCAGACCAGAGCTTCACCATTCAAGATCTAGCATCTGGCTCCGTGAAGCTCAATGTGGAGCGCTGCTCCTTGGGCCATCTGACCCGCCGCGGCCTCTACCTTGCTTTCCACAACCCTGGTGCCTGTGTGGCCCTAGTGTCTGTTCGTGTATTCTACCAGCGTTGTCCTGAGATTGTACATGGCTTGGCACGGTTCCCTCAGACTCTTCCTGGACCTGGGGGGCTGGTAGAAGTGTCTGGGACCTGTTTGCCCCATGCACAGACCAGTTCCGGGTCCTTGGGTGCACCACGCATGCACTGTAGCCCTGATGGTGAGTGGCTGGTGCCCGTGGGCCGATGCCACTGCAAGCCTGGCTATGAGGAAGGCAGCGGCAGTGCAGGATGCATTGGTAAGGAAGGCGGCCGTGAGAAACTCAAGGGGCTGCTTGGGAGGGTCTGTAGGTGCCTAGGAAGGCAGGGAAGCCAGTGCTGTGTCAGTACTTCAGGTGTCATTTCATTCGTGATGCTGGGGATAACTTGCATATGGTCGGCAAGTGTTCTACCCCGGAGCTGTATGCCAAACCCTTGTTCTTTTTGACAGGATCTCATTATACAGCACAGGCTGGTCTTGAGTGCAAGACCAGCCTGTTACTGTTTGTCCTCAAGTTTATCCTCTGCCTTTGTCTCCCAAGTGCTGGGATTATAGGCATAGACCACCAACACCCAGTTCCAGACATCTCAGGAGTGTGTGTATGTGTGTGTGTGTGTGTGTGTGTGTGTGTGTGTGTGTGTCAGAGACAGAGACAGACACTAGGGCTTGAACTCAGGATCCCATGTTTTTACTCAGCTTTCTTGCTATTTGCTGATGCTGTCCCTTGAGCCACCACTTCCACTTGAGCCTTTTACTGCTTCATTGAAGACAAAGAGTCCCATGGACTTTTCTGAGCAGGCTGGCTTCAGACCTTGTTCCTCCGATCTCAGCCTCCTGAGTAGCTACAGTTGCAGGCGTGAGCCGCCCACACCTGGCCCCTCTCAGCTATTTTTAACCCCAGTGCACACAGGCAGAAGTGTTTTCAGTACGCAGGATTGCTGTAGCAACAGTGTGGGGTTGGTTCTTCCCATCAAACACCAGAAAAAGCTTGATTCTACGGCATTCTCTTTCCAGTCTGTCCAAGTGGCTTCTACCGGACTGATATGGACATAGCCCACTGTCTCAAGTGCCCCCAGCACAGCACGGCCGAGTCCGCGGGAGCCACCGTCTGTACCTGTGAGAAGGGCCATTACCGGGCCCCTGGGGAGGGCCCCCAGGTAGCATGTACACGTGAGTCCAGGGGACAGGAAGTGGCCATCTGGGAGGAGGTGCTAGGTCTTCGTCTTGCACTCACCGGAGGCAGATTTTCCAGGGCTTATGTGATAGATACTGGATGGCATGAAGTGACCATGAAGTGCTAGCCTCTCCCTGGGAGAAGGCAGAGATTTGGTAACGCTACCTTCCCTTCCGTGGAGATCAGATCTCCCGTGAAGCCTTTGGAGGACTTCTAGAATGGGGGAGATAGACAAAGGTGGGACTCAGTAGCTTGAGGGAGAGCGAAGCTGGCAGCTACTGATGTCTTTTCTTCTTCTGTAGGACCCCCATCGGCTCCCCAAAACCTGAGCTTCTCTGCATCGGGGACTCAGCTCTCCTTGCGCTGGGAACCCCCTGCCGACATGGGGGGACGGCAAGACGTGAGATACAGTGTGGAGTGTTTCCAGTGTCAGGGTACAGTGCAGGACGGAGGGCCCTGCCAGCCCTGTGGGCCAGGAGTGCGCCTCCTCCCCGGGGCTCTGGGGCTCACGGTGCGGACTGTGCGTGTTCAAGGCCTTGAACCGTACGCCAACTACACCTTTCACGTCAAATCCCAAAGCAAAGTGTCCGGCCTGGACGGCTCCCAGCCTGCCAGTGCCTCTCTCAGCATCAACATGGGGCATGCAGGTGAGCCACTGACCATAGGGATGAGTGGGCAGGAAGCCGTGGAAATAACTCCTGACCGGATTCCTTCTTTCCTTCCAAATGCAACTGTCCCTCTGGATGCCCAGAATCGCTCTCAGGCCTGTCTGTGAGGCTCGTGAAGAAAGAACCAAGGCAGCTGGAGCTGAGCTGGGCAGGGTCTCGATCCCGCAATCCCGGTGGAAACCTGAGCTACGAACTGCACATCCTGAACCAGGTCAGGGGGCTGGTGGACCACACCCTCAGAGTGCATATTCCTCGGGCCTGGGATGGGAAGAGGGAAACCACCCAGAGCAATTCAGCATCCGCGGGACAGAATTCCACCAAGAACCTTGTCCTGCCCGTGTCCAGCCCCTGCTCATACTCACTCCCAGGTCTGTCCATCATCTCCATTCTGGTCTGGCCTGGCGCAGCCCAGTTAACACAAGTTCCACCCACAGGATGAAGAATGGCACCAGATGGTTCTAGAACCCCGGGTGTTGCTGACAAAACTGCAGCCAGACACCACATACATCGTCAGAGTGCGAATGTTGACTCCACTAGGCCCCGGCCCTTTCTCCCCCGACCATGAATTTCGGACCAGCCCACCAGGTAGTTCTTACTCTACCCCGCCCCCTAGAAACACATCCCTGTCACCCACAGATGTATCTGAGCTCCTACTGCATGTGTACTACACATGTGTGCACACGTACACACACAGATGCACACACCAAGAGACCTGACCCTGAGCATACCCAAGGCCCTTGCCCTGCCCATCCACACTTCATGGGGCTGTGAGTCCCCCCTCCACCCCCCCCCGCCCCAAGACTTGCTCACCTTTGTGCCTGCAGTTTCCAAGAGCCTGACTGGAGGAGAGATTGTGGCCATCATCTTCGGGGTACTGCTGGGTGTAGCCCTGCTGCTTGGGATTCATTTCTTCCGATCAAGGTGCTGCCTCCCTGCCCTATCCCACTTCTCCTTCCCAGGACCCTTTGCCTAGTCAGAAGCCCTGACAGGGACATCCCCGACCCCCTATCCCTGGCTGCCAAAGCTTAAGTGCGTCCCCATGTCCATCTTGCATACCCGGAGCCCATTGGGCTCCTCCGTAGGTAGGCCTACGACCTGAAAGTGCCACCCCTCTCCCACAGGAGAAACCATCGGCAGCGACAGCAGAGACAACGTGACCATACCATGGATGCCGATCGAGGTAAGTGAGGACAGCCTATGTGTACATATGAGAGAGAGGGAGAGAGAATGTGTGTGTGAGAGAGAGAGAGGGAGAGAGAATGTGTGTGTGAGAGAAAGTGTATGTGTGTGAGAGAGAGAGAGAGAGTGTGTGTGTGTGTGAGAGAGAGAGAGAGGGAGAGAGAGAGAGTGTGTGTCCTGGGGCTTAAACTCAAGGCCAGGGTGCTGTCCCTGAGATTCGTCTGCTCCAAGGTATAGCACTCTACCACTTGAGCCACAGCTCCACTTCTGGCTTTTTTTTGAGTAGCTCATTGGAGATACAAGCCTCACAGACTCTCCTGCCTTGGATGGCTTCAAACCACGATTCTCAGATTCAGCCTCCTGAGTAGCTAGGATTTACCGGCATGCGCCACCGCTGCCTGGCTGTGTGTGTTTTACTACTGGGACTCAACCAAAGGACCCACATTGGCAGGACAATTCTGAGGGTGCAGGCGGGGCTTAATGTCCCTAGGGCTTCATGTTTTGCCACCTAATTAACTTTGCTTAATTAAGTTTGCCCTGATAGCTCTCAATGGCTCTGATGCAACAGTCTGCTAGCTGTGGGGGCCAGCGTTCCGCCACCCCGGGGCTGTCAGCAGCCTTCTCCATCTGGTGGTGACTAGGTCTAAGGGTAAAGCCAAGGCCAGGCAGAAGGGCTGCAGACCTCTGAAACACAGGGGCTTGCTTCCTGCTTGTCACCTCATTAGGCAGTGCTGCCAGAAAGGAAGGCTGCGGTGGATCCAAGTGGCTGGAAAGGGAGAGAGAGTGAAGGAGGTCTGATTGGCTGGATGAGCACGGGGCTCAAGCCGGGTCGGGAGTTGTAAGCAGATTGGGTAACGCGGGGCAGATTGAGAATTGGTTCCAGGGCCTGGGTTCTGGCTACTGCCCTATGTAGTGAAGATCGATGACCTTCAGGTATGGCTGGAAGAAGAAAGGCCAGGATGTGGAGGCTTCTTGCTAAGAATAGAGACTCTCTCTCTCTATCTCTATCTCTGTCTCTCTCTGAGCTAAAATAAGGTTCATCTGAGGGAGCACAGAAGTATGGAGAAGAAAGGAAGGGGCCTTCCTTGTCAGATCCGATACTCCAAGCCCCGACTGCGTGCTGCCCTGGCTGAGCCCCTCTGTGCTCCCCAGAGGACAAGCTGTGGCTGAAGCCCTATGTGGATCTCCAGGCCTATGAGGACCCTGCACAAGGAGCCCTGGACTTCACCCAAGAGCTCGACCCGGCCTGGCTGCTTGTGGACACGGTCATAGGGGAAGGTGAGCCATGCCGTGCACAGCCGGTCTCCCGCGGGGTAGCAGATGGCTGCCAGCAGCTCTCTGCCTTCTAACCCTTGTCTGGGCTGGCCTCTCCTCTGGCTTTACTTACCAGGTGAGCTATGCTTGCCTGAGACTCGGGCATTTATGTAAAAACCAAACACCCAAAACAAAAACACCATATCGGGTACCCTGGAAAAATCTCTGCCTCCAGCACACATTGCTCCACGGCTCTCTGATAGACTGTCCAACACATCATCTGTTGCTGAGCTACAATCAGGGTGTCCTCATATGTTTCCCCTACATGGTAGCAATCCAGAGCCTTCATTCCACCACAAAAGGGATCCAGTGTCTTTGGGCTGCTCTGATTCCTTGGGTCACCAGAGGAAATGGATCTGAGCAGAGAACAAAGCTGGGCAGTGTCCTGGCCAGTTGTGTAGCCAGGACTGGCCAAGCTGAGATCAGGGAGCTCACTCTTGGAAGAGAGATGGCAAAAGTTGTCCCCCCGCAACTTTCCCTGGGCAGCTCCATTCTGCTGACAGGACCCCCCTCAGCATTTAGTACTTGTTGTAAGCCAGGTAGTATGCTCACTCATGGGAAACAGTGGTGGATCAGGCTGTAGAGCTCCAAGAAGGACAACTTAATTTTTGTTCCAAGGAGCATACTTTTGATCCTCCACAAGAGAAGGTAAGAGGACGAGAGGGGTTCATGGCCTACATCTGGGCTAACCCGGCTTTGCAGAGCCACAGTCTTTGTTTTCTTTCTACCCAGGAGAGTTTGGGGAAGTCTACCGTGGGACCCTGCGGCTCCCCAGCCAGGACTGCAAGATGGTGGCCATTAAAACCTTGAAGGACACATCCCCCGATGGCCAGTGGTGGAACTTCCTTCGAGAGGCCACCATCATGGGCCAGTTCAACCACCCACACATTCTGCACCTGGAGGGCGTCATCACAAAGAGTATGAGTGGCAGTCTGTTTGTGCTGAGCGGTGGGGGAGGGAAGATGGAGGAGGAGCACTGGAAATGGAGGGTGGGCAGCAAAGGTCAGGAAACCTGGATCCGTGTGTGACGAGCTGTGTTCTGTGTCTCAGGAAAGCCTATCATGATCATCACAGAGTTTATGGAGAACGGAGCCCTGGATGCCTTCCTGAAGGTAGCCGGGGGGACTGGCCGGGGAGGGGATGTATCCGGGAGCCCTGTGCCTTGGGACGAATGGCCTTTGCCCATCCTGTCACTCATCCTGCTGCAGGAACAAGAGGACCACCTGGTGCCCGGGCAGCTGGTGGCCATGCTGCAGGGCATAGCATCTGGCATGAACTACCTCGGTGACCACAATTACGTCCATCGGGACTTGGCTGCCAGGAACATCTTGGTGAATCAGAACCTGTGCTGCAAGGTGTCTGACTTTGGTCTCACCCGCCTCCTGGATGACTTTGATGGCACCTACGAAACCCAGGTTAGACCCCCGTTATGTACCACAAACACATTCACACGGACCATTCATGCTTTTCCCGCCGTTGTGTGTGTACGGCCACCAGGTCTTGTGCTCAAGTGGCACAGAGCCTCTCCTGGCCATGTGGTCTTCGTCACTTTTCTGTTCCCTGCCTTCCTAAGGGAGGAAAGATCCCCATCCGCTGGACAGCCCCAGAAGCCATTGCACATCGCATCTTTACCACCGCCAGCGACGTATGGAGCTTCGGGATTGTGATGTGGGAGGTGCTGAGCTTTGGGGACAAGCCCTACGGAGAGATGAGCAACCAGGAGGTGAGCCTGGACTTGTCCTGTCCCTCACCACCTCTCTCTCATCTCCCACAGACTTCCGTGATACCTTCTCCAGATACCTTCTTCCTGACCTCATTTTTCTTTTTCTTTTCTTTTTTTTTTTTTTAATACTTATCTCCTTCTCACACTTTGTTCTGATTACTGCTTCCTGCTTTGGCCAGGGTTGTTTAATCTCCATGGCAAACAATCCTGTGTGGTTTTCCCCTGGACCATCAGGTTAGCTTCCTACACCTAGGTAACCCTCGCTACCCCACTCCTGCAGGTGATGAAGAGCATCGAGGATGGGTACCGGCTGCCCCCTCCTGTGGATTGCCCTGCCCCTCTATATGAACTCATGAAGAACTGCTGGGCGTATGACCGTACCCGTCGACCCCACTTCCTCCAGCTGCAGGCACATCTGGAGCAATTGCTTACAGACCCCCACTCCTTGAGGACCATTGCCAATTTTGACCCCAGGTAGCCATGCTGGGGGAAGTACAGGGGAAATGAGAGGGTGGATCCCGAAGAATAGAAATGGATGTCCCATTATATCCATTGAGTGCTGAGCCCTGAGGAGATCTGGACAGAGTCTAAGCATGAGACAGGACCATAATGCATGCTCTTAAGGGAGCCTAGCATGAAGGAGGAGAGTTCTGTGCTCTACAGTTAAACTCCAGAGGAGGAAGGAGGCAGGCACATTGACCTGGAATACACACAGGAAACTGGGAAAGTTACAACTTATTTAAAAATGATGATGATGAAGAGACAATGTGAGCTATATAGACTACCCACATGGCAGAGGTACACAGCCAGGTCCCAAATCCCCAACTTCACGTGAGAAATTTCAGGAAACCATACTTGCTTGACCACCTACAGCTGGTCACGTGTCTGGGAAGTTCTTGTGGCCCAGTCTGGAGCTTAGGATACATTCCCATGCACCTACCACGCCGAAATATTCTTGCATGTGGAGAGAAGGACCACACATTCAACAGCTTTTGGATTACCTGATAGGAATGCTTTTTGCCAGATACTGAAGAGGTCAAGGGCACAGGGCCAGCTCCAGGGAGTGTGGGCACAACTAGTTTGAGGTGGGAATGGCGGGGGAATGTCTTGGAGATCTGTGGCTTTTTCTGAACGACCACACTGCCTGCCCTGCGGAATGGAGGCTGGCAGATTGCAGTTAATAGAAGCACCTAGTTTATGGACAGCTTTTCTGAAATTTGGACTTCCTGGGTATAGAGAATTATCCATTTTCTTCTCAAAACTGCCTACAGGAGGGACATGGCAAAAATTGCACTTTACTAAAAACATGGTCAGAATGTAGAGAATGAGGTGGGGGGGGCGGGAAGGAGAGCAGGTGGGGGAGTCAGGCAAGGCTAGACTTCCAACTACTTTATTGGGTAAAGCAGCCTGGCACAGTCTGCTTCTGTATCAAACCACCATATATAACCTTGTTTCTGGGAGAAATTGTGCTCCAAGTTCCAACTTTTGAAACTATCTTTTTGGAACACTCCTCCCTCGGACGCTGGAGACTGCATGTGCTAATCTTTCTGGAATGCTGGATATTTTCTTTTCCCCCAGCAGATCTACTTTGCTAATGGTTTTTGGCTCTGGCTGGCTTTAGTACAGGAACGCTCATTGTATTGTGGGTGTCAAAGTGCAAGAATAACAACAGAGGTGGAAGGTAGCAAGCAAAGGCCGCTCCTAGCTCCTAGCACTCGGGCAAGCCGCACTGGGAAAGGGCAGGCCCACCCACGCCCAGCTGCGAGGCCTGTTCTTCCTCTCACCTGGGGTACTTCCATGTGGAACAGGCTAGAGGAAAAAGTTCCATCGAGGCCTCCCAGGTGGCTACCTTCCACAAGTCTACCGACACAGCAGGTCTGTCAGCTGCCCGCCCACTGCTCCCAGCACCAGGAAGCAGGCCAGGAAGTGGGTTCAGACAATGGCTGGCTAATCCACTGAGCCTGGATGATTTGTGCTTAAGCAGTCAACTTCAGGATTGGCTTGCCGATGGGGAGGGCAGACTCCAACCAAGCCCCCCGTGACTGAGGCAGCCTCGTATCCCCCAGGGTGACTCTCCGCCTGCCTAGCCTGAGCGGCTCTGACGGAATCCCTTATCGAAGCGTCTCTGAGTGGCTGGAGTCCATTCGCATGAAGCGCTACATCCTGCACTTCCGCTCGGCCGGGCTGGACACCATGGAGTGTGTGCTGGAGCTGACAGCCGAGTAAGGATCCTGGGGCTAGGGTGGTCTGGGTAAGAGAGGCTGGGGGATCTGAGCCACCAGACTCGAGCAGCTCCTTTCCTTTTCCACAGGGACCTCACCCAAATGGGAATCACGTTGCCAGGGCACCAGAAGCGGATACTTTGCAGTATTCAGGGGTTTAAGGACTGAGTGGCCACTGTGGACACCTCAGCCCTCCCCCTGCCCTCAGGGAGCAAGGATGGGGCCAGGGTCACTCCTTGGGCCCTTCCTCAACCTACAAGATGTAGGCTATTTGGTGCTGCTCCTACCTACTCTTCCAGGACTCTGCCTCAGGACCCGGGAGCCTTTGTTTTGTTTTGTTTTGTTTTTTAAAAAAAAAGGGAGGTGGGGATGGAAGAGAAGCAATTATGTGGGTGGGTGGGTTGGTATGAGGGGGAGGGTTTAATATATATATATATACATATATATATACTTACATAGGCATATCTATTTTTGTAAATAAAACAGGAGCTGAATTTTCATCCTTACTCCTAGTCTTTTGATCCTTCTATCTACTCCAGCCAAGAGTCAGTTGACTACTGACAATTCTGCAAAACAAGGTTTTATTTCCATTTGGAGCTATAGCCACAACCTGACAGCATGGGGCGGGGGGGGGGGGGTGTTCAGGCTCCCAGAGGGCCGAGGTTTTAGCTCCCAGCCCTCAGCAAGCGGAGTGCAGAGACTGCTCAGGACGGGCAGGGTCATCGGTGCAGCGGTGAAAGCGGCAGCACTAAAGTGGTGCCCCTCGGGTGGGGTCCTGGAGATCCCTACAGGGGATGAGCAAAGACTGGAGCCCCAGGACGGGCTTCAGCACCCCACCTGGGCCATGCTGGGGCCCTGGGTCCAGAGCACTTAAGATGCTGGCAAAGGGTTTGGAATGGAGGGAGGGGCTAGGTGGGGGTGGGCAGAAGGAAAGGACTGTTGTCCGTGTGGGTGTGGTCCGTGATAGGGAATGGGCCCACAAGTGGAAAGGCGGCCTGGTCCTCCTCACTCAGCTCTGGACTCTCGCAGTGTGGCAAGTCCGACAAAGCACATGACCATCCAGAGGGAAGCAGCCCTCGTCATCAGCCTGGATGGACAGAACCTTCTGACAGTCCTGAGAAGGAAGAAAGGTAAGGGGCGCTCAGCGTGGGAAGGCTCCTGCTCTAGCTTTAAATTGGTCATCAAGTGCTTCAGAGCTGAGGATGGTCCCATCACTCACCCCTTCTTCCTGACCGGCCACCTTCACGCTCCTCACCCCCCATCAGGCCTCCCCCGGAGACAAGAGGGGTCATGGTGCCCACCCGCAAAATAACAGGTTTGGGGGTCTTCTCATCTTGTCTCAGCTCCCTTCTGGAAGTTTTTGTTTTGTGTTGTGCTGATGCTGGGACTTGAACTCAACTCAGGGCCTGGGCACATTGTCCTTTAAGCTTTTCTCTCAAGACTGGCGTTCAACCACTTGAGCTACATACAGCGCCACTTCTGGCTTTGTGCTGGTTAACTGGAGACAGGAGCCTCACAAACTTTCCTGCCTAGGCTGACTTCAAACCATGATCTTTAGATCTCGGCCTCCAGAAGTAGCTCTAGGATTACAGGATTGAGCCAGTGGCATCTGGTTTTCAGCTCCATTCTGCCAAGACTTCTGCAACCTCACTGGACACCGCGCCCCATCTCAATCCCATGACACTATAAAACAACACACACACACACACACACACACAGAGGGAAGTTGCCTCTCTTAAGACGATCTAAGACTCAACGGGGCTCCCCAGAGGGACAGCTGACCTCACACTTGTAACACTTCATGTGGAAGTTCTTCTCCAGAGCGACCACTCGCACAGTCTCTTCACAGCCAGGCTCAGGCATGATGGGCTCTGAGCAGACAGAGCACTTTGGGGCATACGCCCTGCAGGGGAGGGGGATGGACATAGAGAACAAGACCATGAGTTCCATGGAGCCAGCAGCACCTCAGGTTTTCATGACCCCTGGGTACAAAACCCCACATATTCTGTTTGTCCCATATTTCTTTGAGGGGTTTTCTTGGGGGAAGGGGTTGTGGGGCTGGAACTCAGGGCCTCAGTGTTGTCCCTGAGCCCTTTTGCTCAAGGCTAGCACTCTGCCACTTTGAGCCATAGCACCACTTCCAGTTTCTGAGTGGTTGATTGGAGATATAAGTCTCACAGGGACTTTTCTGCCGGGGCTGACTTCAAACCGCGATCCTCAGGCTCCTAAGTAGCTAGGATTACAGGCGTGAGCTACTGGCACCCATGTTTTTGGTGGAGCAATTTCTCATCAAAGACCAAAGACCAAGCACCAAACCTGACCCTGAAGCAAAGAGCACCCTGCCAGTGTTTTGGCTTACCACAACAGCTGAGGCCGCTCCTGTAGTTAGCATTAGTAATGTGGTAGGCCCCTCCTGGTCTACCACACCAATATATCAGTGCCTTTCCTCTGATCCTAGACAGTGCCAGGGAACACGGGCCACCCATGGTGGAATCTTGACAATCTCCAAGGTGGAGATTGACAATGTTCTTTTCCCAGCTTCCTTTTAGCACTATGAAGGTATTTTACTAGCCATCCTGACAAAATGACTGTCCCAGTTTCTAAAAAAAACAAAAACTCAACTAAAAAACAGTGCTCCAAACTGAGTGCAAAAGAAACGACTTGCAGGTGAACAGTCACTGCACACCGTGGTACATGTCCCTGGCCAAGGCCAGTCATGGGACGTTCCATCCAGACCTTTGGGACAAGTTGTCCCTTGTCGTCCCCAGGGGCCAGAAAGCAAGACCTGAGTCTGGAACTGTCCTGAAGCTCTGTGGGACCTTGGCTACCTGACAAAGTATGAATGAAACCCAGAGAAACCAGCCAGGGGGGGGCGTGGGTGGGTCCTCACCTGTGGTAGTCGGGGACGCAGTGAGGCTTGCTGGCCTGGTCCATGATGAAGGAGGTGCCCTCCAGGAGGCAGCCGCAGACCACACAGGTGAAGCACTTCGGGTGGTAGAGTTTGCCGGAGGCCCTCAGCATGTGTTCGGTGATGGGATTCCCACAGGAGTGACACTTCTCCAAGGTGTTCTAAGGGGCAGAAGGAGCGGGGTTTGATGACTCCTGGGGCTCCCTGAACCCCCTCCCCCCCCAGCCCCAATCCACCCCAGAGCTCAAAGTAGGACTCACGGTGTAGCAGCCCTCACAGTATGGTGACGCGTCCACGTTGTAGAACTGCTGCCCCTGAAGCTCCTTGTTACACTTGTGGCAGGTGAAGCAGGTCAGATGGAACAGCCTGCTCATGGCTCGGACAGCCGGCTCTGACCGGATCAGTGGCTTCTGGCATTGACCACATGTCTCTGGGAAAAAAACAACCCCATCAAGAAGAAGAAGAGGAGGAAGAGGAGGAGGGGGGGAGAAGGAGGAGGAGTAGGAGGGGGAGAGGAAGGAAAAGGAAGGAAGAGGAAGAGGAGGAGGAGGAGGGGGAGGGGGAGGAGGAGAGGAAGGAAGAGGAAGAAGAGGAGGAGGTGGCGGCAGCACAGCCTTCTCACAAGCTCCCCGGGGACCCTCCAACCGCATCTGTGGCCAGCACAATACCCGAAGGACAGAAGAGAGAAAGAGCCCACCACTCACCATCCACAGGCACGGACACGGAGTGCCTCTGGGGCTGTTCCATGTCCTGCATCAGCTGCTGGGTCAGCTGCTCCAGCTCCTCCACCTCCTTCAAAGTCAGGGGTCCTGGGGCCCCAGGAGAGCGCACCTAGGAAACGACACTTTTCTTCCTATCCGGCCAGGGTCACCCCCTCCAGGAGCCCGCCCAGACTAACCGATCTCTTCATCCAGCCTGGTTCCCTGGCTGCTCAGATCCCAACCTTCCCAACCCCTCCTTTTCTCTCCAGGGGGAGGCCCCCCCAACACATCACAGAGTGGCAGGCACTGACCTTAGCTTGGATCTCTTAGAGGGACACATCTCCACACCCCTCCTCCCCGGGCGCCCGAAACCCTCGCCCCGCCCCCGCAGCGGTCACAGAGACAGGCCGGAACAACTAAGCCACGGAGGAGGCCACGCACACAGCAGCTCAGGTCACTGAAGCACCTAACACGCAGAGGCCACGCACGCATCGACTTCACAGAGCATGCTCGGACACGCCCACCTCCCCGCAGGGGAGGGGCGCGCTGCGTGCACAAAAGGGGGCGCGCGCTCGGGGGGCGCACGTACACACCTACCCGGCCCACCTGCTGCTGAGCAGCCCCTGTCAGCGTGAGGATGCAAGCACAGGTTAAACCCCAGAGCTGTCCGCTGGAGCCCCAACCCCCCAGAACCCCAAGACATCCCGGGGTCCCTCCTGAGAGAGAAGCTCACCACCCCTTCTTCCTATAAGAGACTGAATACTGGAGGAGACTTGGAACGCGCAGGTGGGGCGGGGGGGGGGGCAGGGGGGGTGAGAGACAGAATGCTGTGGGACCCAGAGAACTTGGGGAGACCTTCTGACCTGGACCACATGTGTTCAAAAGACCTTTCCACAGCAACACTGAATTGGTCATCTGTATTGGGTTAAGGCCACCCAAGAGCCACAATCCCTGTCTTTTTGCCCCTAGGCCACCTGGAACTCCACAATCTTCTCAAGTCTGTAATCTTAGCTACTTCGGAGGCTGAGATGTGAGAATCGCTGTTCAAAGCCAGCCAGGGCAGAAAAGTCCCCGAGACTCTATCTCCAATTAACCAGCAAAAAAGTCAGTGTGAAAGAGTACCAGCCTTCGTGAAAAGGCCAAGAGAGAGCTGAAGGCCAAATTCAAACCCCACTACAAACAACACCAGAAAGGATCTGTACTAGCTCTGCTCTGCTTTCCTGCAGCAGAACTACGGAGGCAATACTGCCCGCTCTTAACTATATTGCCCTAAGACACGTCTCCTACTCTGGAGTGCCATAGGTCCCTGGAAAACAAGCTTTACCAACTGTCTCCTCTTGCAAACTTCCCTTCCTGCCATTTTGGCACACTATCAGACACTGGCCCTAGTCTTTAGAAGGATGAATTCAACCAGAACCCTCTCTGTGGACACCCATACCCTCCAGGACACACTTGTCTGCTACCAACGGCTTTCCTCTACCTACTGGCAGCAATGCCACAGCTCCGCAACTCCCGTGGCTGAATTTCTCTCCATCAGTTACCTTCCATCTCAGCACACCTTAAATCTAACATTACCAACCTCTTGGTTCCCAAGACCCCTCTCAAATACGCCCCCATTTTCCATTATGTGACCCTAGTAGAAGGGCTGGGTGCCTGACTCCCCACTTGCCCCATGTGTCTAGAGCTGCCAGCCTGCCACCCCCCACCCCTACACTGGCCTCCCGCTAACTCTGGCTACTCAAGAGCCACACGGACTATCTTGGCCTCATCTCCAACCTCAGGTCACACCACGGCCTGGCTTCCTGTTTCTGCCTCTGAGCTGCAGAAAAGTAGGTGGAGAGAAACTGAACACTGCAGACAGACTTCCTAAAGCACTGCAGGGCCCTCCACACACTCCAACCCCAGCTCCTCCGTCTGCTGTTTGGCTCCAACCAGATTTCCAGTTGCCTTTCCCAGAGCAGCTGTTCCGAACCTTTTTCCATCTCCAGCCCCCAATAGCTTCGCCCCCTCGCTCTCGCTCACTGATGACCTCATCCGCTCCAGGCCTGGCAGCCAGCCAGTATAAGCTCACTCCTCGTCCTTGCTTGCTCGCCATAGCAAACACCACATATGCCGCCCTGTCCTTGCTCCCTGGAAATGCCCCTGGGGTCAGTCCCTGCTCCCAGGTATCACTGAGCCTTCCCCACAAACTTCGGGCCTCTTTGTTTCCCCACAAACTTCGGGCCTCTTTGTTTCCAAACACACTTAGGCCCCCCTCCCCTAACCTACACTTTCCTGGCTCCCCCTACACTAACACCATCTTTCCCTGGTCTTTTTCCTGCCAACCTTGGGGACCAGCTTGACACTACCAACTAACTCCCTGTTCTCACCACTCCTTAGACATTGTTCCTATCAGACCACAAAAGGACCACTCCAAGGCCAGCTGTGATGTCCTAAAAGTCAAATCTCTGGCCTTATCTGAGTCCTAGGCCAATGCCAAGCAGAAGAGCCCTACAATACCTTCTTGGGTTTCGCTCCACTTCCTCTAGCCCCACTTCTCTTCTCCTTCCTACCCTAGCCAAGGTAGCATGAGCCAAAGTTCCTCTCAAAACATCAACTACCTCTGTGCAATGCCTCAAAGCTTGCTGCCTCAGGGTCCCTGTGAGTACTATCACATGAACTTCTGTGGTTCAGGACCCCATCCTGAATTACCCACATTTCTAGCTGACTGACAGTTCGAGCAAAGGGCAAGTACTCTTGGAACCTATTGCCCAACAAGCTGCCAACTGGACCCCGCCTCTTCCGGCCCAAACCATTTCCCCTTCCTAACTTCTCTATTTGATCAAAAGTCTTGTCACTCCCTAACACATCCAGGTTCAGAACCTTCCTGGTTTATTTCTTCTCCTTTCCCCTTTTGCTCATCCAACCGCTTTCGGTTGCCTCCTTCTGTAGGTTCTTTCCTGTGGGTCTTATTTTTGGTTGCAATTAACCGTTAGTGTGGCTCAGGAGTAAACTCACACCTTGCTGACCTCTGACCTCATACGTCTCTGGTGCAACAACTTTGCAGAAAACTCCCAAAACTGGTGGCAATTTTATTTCCTACCCTAGCCCCCAAATACAGTTCCATAATTTCCCCCAAAGGAACCTTGTGCTTTCTGTTTTCCAAACACCCTTTGTGTATCAGCACTTTTGAGTTTTGCCAGTATTATTTCATTCAAATGCTGTTGCCTCCTTTACAGATTCTTTTTTTTTTTTTGCTTGCTTCTCTTTTGCTGAGGCTTGGGCACTGTCCCTGTTTGCTCTAGGATAGTGCTCTATCACTAGAGCCACAGCTCCACTTCCGGCTTTTGTTTTTTTTTTGGTAGTCAATTGGAGATAAGAATCTCATGGACTTTATTGTCACAATCCTCAGATCTCAGCCTCCTGAGTAGCTAGGGTTGTAGGCAGGAGCCACCAGTGCCAGGTGTCCTCTTGGGATTCTTAACTCTACTTGTCTTTCAAGGCACACCAACTTCATGACTTGCCAGTCCTCCAAGTCCTGACTTCCTACTTTGAGTTCCTACCATGCAGTGATGCTCAGTTACAAGAATCCACTTGGATCAGATGAACTCCTTGGATGAGGATGGTGGGCCTAGATGACCATCAGATTCCCTTCAACTCTAAAAAAGCTCCTGAACTAGAGGGCAAGAACTCTTCTGTTTCTACTCTGAACAGAGTTCTATTCTAGACACACAGCCTAGTCCTTTCCACACATTAGATCATTTACTCTTCATCATCACAGAGGACATTGTTGTTCTGAAGACTCAGAAATGGAGGCTCCAACTCCCAGTTTGCCACGCTTGCAGCCGAGCAGGGGATTCAATCCTCAGTCCACTAATTCCATTCCACTGAGCCTGTTCTGAGAGATCTCTTCCCTTCCAGCATCTCAGCACAGTGCTTGGCACTCAGCTGCAGCTGGCCCGGCTGGCTGTTCCCTTGTTTACTGGTGCTGTGGCTCCTATCTCCAGATGGACCCTTGGGCATTGAAAGTACTCTGAGCTGAGATTCACTCAAAATCCCAGACCAGGAAAAAACTGGTGATCCTCCTTGGGCAGAGGTGTAAGAGAAGGTGGACCAAAGCCGCCTAATTCTGAGCCCTTGCTGCTCCGACTCCCCTCCTCCTCCCCCCCCTCTCCTCATCTCTGGTCCCACCCAATGCCAGAGAACAGCTTTCTTTCTGTTCCTACTGTCCTAACAAATGATACTCACCAATGGGGTGTGAAAAGTCAACCTCAAACACGCCTGCAACCCCCCCTCCACACAACTTTCCCAGCTTCTCTGGCTCCTGACCTCGGTATCCACCTCCCTCCCCCCCTCCCATCCACCCCCCCCCCAGGCGTCCACCTGGAGCTGTCCCTCACCTGGTTTTGAGGTGGCGGTGGTGGCCTGGGCGCTGGTTGCTGCTTTTCCTGCACTTGGGGCTTCTCCCTCTGCTGTGCATAGGTGAAATTCGGAGGCTGAGGGGAGCCTACACTGGAGGAAGACGGGGCTTCCGGAGCCCCCAGTTTTTTATTAGGCAGCGGCCCAGGTCCACCTGGGGCTCCAGCGCTCCACTTGGGAGCCAGGGGAGGAAACTTAGGGGCTGGGGCTGGAGCTGGGGGACCTCGCGGCTGCAAATGAGCAGAAGACACAGGCTGGGGCTTAGCCTGGACGTGAAACAGTGCCTGGCTCTGCGGCGGGGCCTGAGCTGGAGGCTGTGCGCTCGGAGGGCTCTTCCAAGGAGGCAGGGGTGCCGTGCCCCCAGCTGCAGGCTTGGTATTGGACTTGGGAACAAACGGAGTGACAACTGGTGGGGGTACATATCCAGATGACACCTGGGAGGAGAGGCAGAGAGGACAGAAGTGCACTTATAAAGGTGGCCCGGCCTGAGTTCCTCTTTTCCCTCCACTGGTCGCCTCCCCCAGGTCAACAGCGTTTCCTAGGGTCCCGGGCCCTCCCTTACCCGCGCTTTGAAGGGATCATTCTTGGTCATGTCATCCAACAGTGAAGACAGAGAGTCAATCTCAAGGTCAATGCTGCTCACCTTCTCCCTAGGCTGTAGGGTCAGGGGTCAGAGCACCCATCCCAGGCCACCCTTCTCCACCCCACCCCCCAACAAGACAGAAGGGGCATGAGAGGTGAGAAGGACCCACCAGTCCCCACGCTGCTGGTGGCCCCTCCGAGCCCCATACCTGCGGCGGGAGCGGGACAGGGGCCTCGGACCCCGCCTCCTCCGCCACTGGAGGTGGCGGGGAGGGGAAGATGTCCTCATCCAGGGGCGCAGGAGGAAAAGGCTCTTCGATCGGGGGAGGTGGGGGTGGGAAGGCCCCTCCCAGGGCACCCGCAGATTCGTCGCCATCCCCAAGGAGGGGAGGTGGGGGTAGGGGAAAGTCTGGGTAGGAAAGAAAAAGAGGGCCATGCGTCAGGGCCTCGATTGCCCTCGGTCCACAGCTCTAACTCCCAGTGCAAGAACTTTCTCCAGGGTCTGGGGGTAGGGAGGGGGGAGGAGGAGGGCGCAGCCCCCCCCCCGGCCTCCATGCCCCGGGAGCCGAGGCGGACGACCCAGGAGCGAGCGGTGCGGCTCCCGTTACACTGGGAGAACGGATCCGGAGGGGGGGGGATAGATTCCTGGCCCACATTCCCGCCTCCCTCCCCCAGGCGGGAGACTTGGAACCGTCCCAGGCGCCTGGCTCCCAGCCACCGGCTCCGCGATGAGGTAAGAACATCTGCTCGGGACGGGGTGGCTGCGCCCAGCCCCCGCCCCGCACCCACTTTCCCGAGCACCCCCCCCAAATTCCACAAGGCCCGGATCGCACCCTGGGGACCGCAGGGGGGGTCCCAGCTGCCCCCACCCCAGGCCCAGCTGCATAACTGGAGGGGGAGGTGTCCCGGCCCCCCCCCACACGTACACGCACACACCCCAAACCCAACTGCATACCTTCCGGGGGTGGCGGGGGGATCTCGCCCACCCGGCCCATCTGTGCACGCTGTGCCCCGGCCGGGGAAGGCTCGCTGTCCCCGGGCCGAAAAGGGTTCACTTTGGGCTTCGGGGCCACCACCGGGGCGAACTTCTTCTGCGGCGCGTAAAAAGCTGGAGCCGAGACGGAGATGACCGGCGGCGGGCGGGGGGCGGCCATGGCTGGGCCGGACTGGGGTGCTGGCGGGGTGGGGGTGGGGGTCGCCAGGTTACGCGGAGCCGAGCCGCGAACTCCCCGGCGATCGGGGCTCCCCACCCCACCCACATCCGCGCCCTGCGCCCCGCGTCCCCCGCGTCCCCTCCCCACGCGCGCCTCACCGCCGGCGGGAGCGCGCGCTCGGCGACTGGATGAGCGCTCGGCGCACGGTCCGCAGACTCTGCGTCCGGGTCCCCGGCAGCCTCGGAGCCGGGCGTGGAGGGACGGACGCCGGGAAAGGGGAGGGCGGGAGGGGGGCGGGCGGAGAGCGGCGCCCAGACCATACAAGGAGAGGCCCGGGGAGGGGGGCGGGGAGAGCTGGGGGAGGGCGGACGAGCTAGGAACCACCCCCTCCCCCAGGAAAGGCACCCCCCCCTGCTCCTGCCCCAGGGCCTTAGGCTCCGCCAAGGTCCCCCCCCCATTCTCCCCCGCCCGTCGCCCCCACCCCGTCGGGCACCGACCACCCTTCCCCTAACATAGGCCTCTGATGTCATTTCCTGACCTGCCCCGCCCCCCCCGCCCGACCCGCGGCGGTGCCCGGGATCTGACTCACCGTCCCCTCTCCGGGATCGGCTGGGGGCGGGTGTCCCAGGGGTACCCAGCCCCCACCCCTCCTCTTTGGCCTGCCGTTACCTGCCCCCCACCTTCCCCCCCTCCTCCCCCCAGCGTCCCCAAAGCTCAGGGGTCAGCCGCCAGCTGGCAGGCCCGGCAGGGCACTGGTTCTCCGGGGTGGGCGGGGATGTCGAGGGGGGCGTTCCCACCTCCCTTCTGCCGCCCCCCCCCCCTGCCCCACACACATCCAGGCCTCTCTGTGGCCGGCCTGTATGTGTCGGTGTGTGTGTCTGCGTCTGTGTGTGTGCGTGCGCGTACGCGCGCACCCCCCCCCAGCTGCGTCTTTCGGGGCGCAGGGCAGCCACTTAGAAGGGGCTACTAGGAATTTGCATTGCCCCCCCCGCCTTGCCCCCCAGCTAGCAGATCAGTTGCACACCACCCACCCACACCCCACACCCGGGGAGGTGGGACGCAGGGTCGGTGGGCCCACCGGGGCGGAGGCGAGGAAGGGCAGGCAGCCCACCTGGACCAGAAAAGACTCACACAGACTGCCACGGACAACCAGGCGCTCCTCCATGCTGCTTCCCAGCCTGCTGGGACCCACACCCTGGCAGCGCCCATGGGCCACCTCGGGGCACTGAAGACTCGCTGGGGCCCTCCACTGGTCCGACCAGATTCCTCAGCGCCCCAGGCTAGGGTTTGCTTTTTTTTTTTTTTTTAATTGCACAAGAAAATCTACCCAATCGAGGCCTGCTTTCTTCTACACTCATAAATTACGGAATCAAGCCTTTTACCCTCTAGGGCAATATTCCCCCTCAGGCGCCTTTTTCTTTCATCTGACATTCCTGACTGTCATCCATTGTCTTCTTTAAGGCCTCCACAGTTTCCAGCCCCTAAGCCTCCATATCCACTACCCCCTAACTCTACAGAAGTATTTGGGCTATGCTTTGAGTTCATGTCTACCAACCTCGTGAATTTGCAACAACAACAACAAAACAAAACAGGCTTTCACGAAAGCCAGACTTCATTGCTTTGCACCCGGACATCAGCAACCCTGAATTTCCAGGCGAAAGAGAGCTCTAGATACCATAGATCAAAGTCCCAGCTTGACCAGTGCCCGGTTCATTCCTCTTCACTTTCTCCATCTGTAAGAATGATACTAGTCACCCGCCTTACTTCCTTATATGGAGAGATGAGTGGAATGTCATATCTGAAGATGCTATAGAATGCTGTGGTGATTCAAGTCCCAGTTCTCCCTTGAGAGTCGAAATGCGACCCAGTTAAGCCTGAGGTAGCTTCTTCCTATGTGTATGTTCTGGGTTGCCAGGAAAAACTCTCCCCAGGTCTCGATATTTGTGAGACCCTTTTGTTCCTTCCGTGATCATCCTTAATGATACTACAACTTCATCACCTTCCCATTTCTTTCTTTTCTCCAGCAACTTATTTGTCTTTGTCACTGGTATTGTTTTTCCACAGCCAAAACATGTGAGGCCACACATGATACAAAGCGCACAGGTACACACGTTCTCACGACACGCACAGGCCGGTCCTGGGCCTGCCTCTGTGAAGATCTGTTAGGAATTTGATACTGAAGATCCTGTGCATGTTGGAGATTGTTCCTTAAGCTTTGAAGACCAAATGCCTCATCTCTATTCTCCTAAAGGTACTTACTTGAGGTGGGGAGGGGGGCTGGACTAAGTTAACTTCATCAGAGTAAAAGCCACCTGCCTTCTAAAAACAAATCTCCTCCAAGAAATGTACATGTGCAAAATAGAGTATGTGTAATTGTTAGGCAGCTGAGCCTATTTATAAATCAAGAATAGAAGAGTGCGTAGGAAGGCTTAGTTTTACTGACAACGACAAGCCCTCAGATTGCAGAATATTCAAGCTTAAGACTTCAAAGCCAGCCTTCTGAATGCAAGTAGAAACACAGAATTTCCTCCCAAAGGACAGAATCACTGGACCAGAATGTCCAGAGCTTCAGAATCAATGCTACAAAGCTGCTGACAATGAACAGGAACTGACTTCATAATTCTTAAGTATTTTTTCTTGAGCAAACCATTATGACTGCTCTCCTCAGGTATGTGTAAATTATGACAAAGAAGTGGATGTCTTCACTTAAAAGCATGACCACCAGCCCCAGGCCTGAGAGAGGAAGTAAGAGATTGATCATTGACCTTTGCTATCTAAAACATCGTTACACACCTCAAGATTTACAGCCACAGACATCAGAAAGTTTTCCTCAAGGATACACAGCATAAAGAAATCCACTTATGGGAGAGGAAAAGGAAGAAGCAAGATAGGAACAAATAAATGAATTTATTCCAAAATGAAATGAAGGAGGTCATGGTGGGGGGGGGGGTTGTATCTGCTGTCTGGGACAGGGACAACTAGATGCCTGACACTGCCCTGCTGAAGCACTGTAACCATAGCAACACAACACAGTGGCAATAACAATATCAGCTACAATCATTGTGCACCCTTAGGACTGGGGAAAAGGCTTACGGTAGAGCACTTGATTAACCTACAAGAGGCCCTGGGTTCCAGTTCCAATCCCATGAAAGAAAAATAAGTACAAAAAAAAAAAAGAAGCTCATACTCAATGTATAGCTGTGCCTTTTAAATATATCATCTCTATTTCTCATTTTAAACCCTTGTGAGAATATACATTATTACCCAATTTTCCATTTAAGGAAAATGAGACTAACTAGATGTTGGAAGTTCTGCTCCAAAACTGCACAGGTTTTTGCCATACAAATATTTTTCTTATTTTCAATATCCTCATCCACACACACCCCGCCCCCATCTGAATTGTACCCTTGTATTCCATGGCTCCTCTTGTTCTAACATTCCACAGCCATTTCAATTCTGCCTCCACTGGCTTCTCCCCCTTACCTGTGAGCCACCATTTTATGTCACAAAAACATCATCACATTCATCTATCTGCATGTGCACAGAGAGAGAGAGAGAAAAAAAGAAAGAGAGAGAGAGAATGAATGAGAACCTGTGTGTTTTATTACCTATGCTTTTGTGTTAGTAGTATTGTTCCAGGTGCATTCACAAGAATTGTTAGGACAAAAAGGCCTTTACAGTTGTATTTTCTCCTGTGGTGAACATGCCTTATTTTATGATCCAAGAAATAAAAGGAGAGGAATGGAAACCATTGTGTCTTTTTTGCCTGGTGCAGCATGCTCTCCTTGTTCTGACGGAGTGCCATGAGCACAGGTGCAGTTTCCCATTTGCTGTCAAATGTTAGTTACTACCCCCTCCTTGCCCCACGGTATGGAACAAACTCTAGTTAGTGGAACTACAGATACATTGGTGAAATTGGGATGAGCTGAGGATAAAGCTGTAGGTTGGACCTGAGGAGTTTCGCCTCCAAAGCCCAGACCAAGTGTCTTCCTGCTCTGCCCTCAGGGCCACTCCTTCAAAGGAAGGACGGGACTAACCACAGAAGCCCTTGGGCCTGTTTCCTCCAGATCAGTTTAGGAAGCAGACGTCAGAGCATCCTCCTACATGCAATCTCCTCCCCTGCACCGCCCTCAGGCCAGCCCTAGGTACTAAGAGAATGTTAAGATTCCAGACACTCTGGCTATAAAGATAAACAATCCTAGCCCAGAGCCAGTGGCTCATACCTGTAATCCTAGTTGCTCAGGAAGCTGAGATCTGAGGATCAAAACTCAAAGGCTGCCTGAGCAGGAAAGTCCCAGAGACTTTTATCTTCCATTAACTACCAATACATAAAAGCCAGAAATGGAGATGTGGCTCAAGTAGTAGTGGCTCTGATTTCAAGCCCTGGTACCAGCACAAAGTAATAATAAAATAATAATTAGTAATAATCCAGTTCTTTAAAGGGGGCAGTGGGAGGGACACTGGAGTTGTAATCATCTGCCCCATAGACATTGCTTGTTGTGGGGACACTAATCACAATAGGCAAGTGGCCTCCTTACTATCCAGTCCTCATTGATGTCTCCTTAGGCACCCAGCAGCAATGAGGAGGAGGAAGAGGAGGAGGAGGAAGAGTTGCAATCTGCACATGGTGTTTAAGGAGCAGAGGAAAGGCAAGAGTTCTTCATCCATAGGGCTAGACCAGATGGGCACCCAAAGATACTGTAAGCATCAGCAAGTCAGAAAAGTGGGGGCAGGGCAAGGCAGATGGTCAGATGGCAAAGAGTCAGCAACCATGGGAGCCGAGAAGGGCAGACAGGAAAAGAGGCCCAGGGCACCCATGACAGACCAAGCAGGTTGCTGGCACTGAAGCCGCACTAGTGGGGCATCTGCTGCTTTCTTCTCTCTGTACCCAGAGGAAGCCAAAATCCAAGAGAGCCTGGCCTAAAAGCTGGAGTGTTTGTCACTGAAAATAGCTCAACTAAGTCATTAGAAGGAGGAAACATTTCATGGAGTGGGGGGTGAATAGAGATTTATAATCTCTCTTGCTTCAGATGGAAGGTACTTAGCAGCTCTTCTTGCTCACCAGCTTTCACTCCTTTTAATTTGGTGGGCTTAACCTAAAAATCCCACTGGGCTGATCTGACACAGGAAGTGGGTGCTCATGTGCTAACCCACAGACCTTGTTCAAACTTCCTTTGGCTGCCCTTCCTGCCAACCCCTGTGTTGCTATTTGCCTCACCACCCAGAAGCAGGAACAATA